TGTATTGATCTAACTGTATTTTTGTGTGCCTGTATAATTCAACATTATGTTTATGGCCAAAACAGCGAAAACTCGTCGGTATAAATTTTAGTCTATAATTGCTTGCCAATAAATCTCCCAGGTTATAATACTACATCGATTTTTTCGAAAGTACACAGCCTGGGTGATTGTGAAATTGAGGCATGCCATTCTTGCTGACAACAATTTTTTTTATTCTTTGAGTAAATTGGGTGTTTGGGTTGTTTGCCACCACCACCACCCACCCTCGAAAAAACAAAACGGCGCTGATTTTTTTCACCCAGATTTCCACAATTTGTTATGCCAACGCTGCAGGCTGTTTGTAGCATACTTCGTCAGCAAAGTGACAAATATTTATGCTAACAAAGTAATGAAACTGTCAACTCTGAAATTTTTTTCGTGATTTGCCACTCCCTGTCCTCATTGCAACAAACTCGTCTTTTTCAGGTAGTAATGCCTCAATTGCATGGTTTTTATCATCGATGAGGTTTTTTGTCTTGAAAAACTGTGTGATCTATTCTGCCTGGGTCGCCATTTAAAAAAAAGCTCTACTGTATTTTGATACAAGATAGCTGATTGGCTGTTTATTTTTGTCACATCTCCCCTCCTTGTCATTAAGGGCGCCTATTAAATACACAATGTATTGGTTCAATCTGCGAAAGGTTAGTTTGGAGGGGTGACCCTAAACAAACGTTTCTTGTCTGGTGAAGATTATTGGACGCGTACGACTCAATGTATTGTTCTGCTTCTTCTAACGAAATAGTTCCCTGGATAACCGTTTGTTGAATGGTGACACTTTCTCCATTCAGATACGATGCCTGTCTTTCTTCCCACTCTAATAGCAAAGAATTTCTTGTTTGATTTCTTCCCACTTTTTAGAGCTTTCTTTGTTCTTCTTTGTTTATTGCCCAACATTTCAATTTCTCACAAAGCTGATCCAATTCCGATTTGTTAGCAAAAATTGTACTTCGTTTTTATTTCACAGATCTGTTTCCCATGATGAACGATTAAGTCTGATATGTTCCTGGACCATATATTATCTATCCCGCACATTTAAATAATGTAATTCGGCCTACAACCGCTGTATACAATCTCAATATACAGAGCTAACTAACATGCGTGTTACGTACATTTAAAAACCCTGTTAATTGTTGAAGGGAGATGATGCCATCATAGACATAACTTGCCATCAAGTAAACTTTAAAATTGTGATTGCTTACCGCCAATTCATCGGACTTGCATGCTCTCCAGGATTTAATTTTAATTTACATTTTGATAGATGTGACGTCATGGAGGATGATCAGAAAAAAACAGCGTTGTATGAAACCAAACACTGGTGCATTATGGGAAGTAACGTCACTAAGTTTATAGTGTTATGCACTATAGTACTAATCACGGTAGCAGCATATGTACATACAAGTCAAAGAATGCATTCTAATAAATTAGTATTGCCTCAGATGGCCATGGTTCAAACGGAGACTCATTATAGTAACAATGGAAAATTATCATGGCAATCGGACCCGCAGGTATGGTATATTTCTTGATAGGGCGCCACCGTAGTTCACAATAATTGATGGAGAGGTTACCCGACTTGTCAAATAAACCCAGGAATGGGATATATGATTTCATCCAAGCGCAAAGGCAATGAAGGCTCATGTATGTCGTAATATTTGCAGCATAGATTATAAACTGAAGTTTAATTTCTCATGTTGTGAGGTGAAATATATTTGTTAGCTTGGCGAGGTCGTGTGAGTTGCACGTTAGTTCTGCGGGGCTCCAAACACAACATTGGGGTCTGATGGCATTCGGCCGGGGTACCAAGTTCGGGGAATTCTCCACCTTTCTATCGAACAAAGACACACAGAGAATCAAATCGTTTCAACCTCTAATCTCAGTGCCACGTCCGAACTCTCCCAAGACTGCGTTAAGACTGCGTCAAGGCTGCCCCGGGACTGCTTGCCTCGGGGTGAGCTTGCCACAACTAACTGAGATCAGCTTCATTCACTTTCCAACTGTTAGCCAATTACAGAGTAGTTTAAAAGCTTAAGGCGTAGCCTCCATACATTCTATTCGCATATAGCTAATCACACAAAGTATTTAACACGCCATAATGTCAGATAAATCATGACACCACTAACGCCCTACATGTCAGGCCAAAATTTATGTGGGCGGTCAAATGTGTCAAGTCCTTGCCTGACAGTGAGTGAGACTGCTGTGTTGCTGTAATATGTATTCAAAACAATCCAAATATATGAACGGTAAAAAACGAAACCACTAGTCTGTACACAACTCTCATTTCTGTGTGTTGGTGTGTGTGTATGCCAATCTTCATTACGCTGAGTTAATAGCTCTGACTTCCTCTAACCGTCAATGCAAAATCTTGTCACGATTTTAACGGTCTCAATATTTTGGCCGAGGGAGGGTTGCACTACGGTGTTATAATATACCATTCCATGGCGACAGAAAGTAAATGTTCAGATCATTACCAAATTCTGCATTTGAGAAATTATAGCAAAAATATCAAAATTGAGTAATTAGTGCATTCGGTATAATTGATCTCCTGTGAGGGGATTACTTTACGTTCATGCATAGTAATGGACTCCTGGCAGCTTGAATTTTTTTCCGATAACAAATTGTTTGGCTAGAGCGCCCTCTATGTACTGTAGTTTCCACTATAATTTACACTGTTTGTTTGTTCGCTATTCCAGGAACGACTAATTGGTGGATTTGATGATGAATTTTGTTCAATGGAAGAATATCCTGAATATTTCATGTTAAGTAATGAAGCAGTTCAGTTTCTGATGAAAGACGGACACCATGAGATATACTTGGCAGCGTGCCAGCCAACCATTTTATATGTATACGGTATGAGTTTAAAAAACACCATGGTCCGATGTCGACCCTGGGTGGACATGCAAGCACGGGTGTTAGGACCAGACTTACAGTTTTACCCCGGCGCCAAGGCATATACACTAATGTTTAACAATGTTAGAGTCAGGTGGGCCGGCGAGGACAAATTTGAATTATTAATACCGCCTTTACAGCTGGGAGTTTACTATTTAGAAATATTACTTGTGCATGGAGAAAATGCCCATCGTGTTTTGTTTGACAATGAGAACAACACTAAAGGTGCTCCTTGTGTGGACACTGGTATTGCTGAAACGCCTGTTTCTCTTATTGTTAATGACAATAGTACGTGTCCATTTTATAAATCCGACTCCACTCCTTTATGTAAATCAGGAAATGTTACAGGGAGATGGGTGAGTACGCCACCAGACGGTTGTGATGGTAATGTCTGCGACGGCAACATTGATGTACTAGCAAGTTCTGGCCGCGTATGGGCGCCCTACGACTGTCATTATAAAATATTTACCCCTGGGGAGCTTAACAAATGTTTTCGGGACAAAGTAATTTTAGTTGTGGGAGATTCGATAACACAGGAAATAGCAAATGAAATAGTTCAGTTGTACATGTACAAAGACAAACTACCTATTTCCCGCGACATGAAACGGAAAAAGAAAGATATACGGCGATCAGTGACCGCATTCTGGCGTTCGATCAACGAGCAGCACACTATGGTTGGTTACAGTTTTTTGATGGCAAGTCCGCTTGGATGTGGGATTGACTGCGTCAATAAACACACTGAAAGTGAATTGCACGATATCCTTTTGCAGCACGGAAAAGTAGATTTACTGATTACTTCAACCGGTGTTCATGAAGTGGCTCCATTTAATCGTATTCACCCAAAACATAAAGATGTGTTTGTAGAATATGAAAAGGGCTTACCAACTTTTATTGAAAAAATCCAGACTTTGGTCAAAGACAGTGGCCAGATAGTATGGATCACGGCACCAGATAGCAGCGATCTTGCGAGATGTAGTTATCATGCAAAACCACGTCTCGAGAAAATAAATAACATCACAAAAAGTTTTGTTGATGAATATCTCCATAGTAACAAGAGCTTGTTACCTATCCATCTCATAGATTTTTTCAGGGTTTCTGAAAACTGCCAGTGTGGAAATGAGCATAAAGGTATTCGATTCATGAATTATGAAAACCAGCAAAATGCAGTGAAATCTTACAATGGGTTTGTATCCAGAATGCTGCTACATATTTATTTGACACTTCTATGTAATTAACCTCCTCGCCGTAGGCTGACATGTTAACCAATTTGAGTTCAGAAAAACTGCTTCCTCAAATGCACAATTTAAAATAATATTTTTTGGCCGAGTACTTAATCTACAACAATATATAATTTGAGCAATTTCAGCTTTAATTCAGTCCCAGTAAATTGGGTTTTAATTTCTGTTTTATGTTTCCCGTCTCCAACATTTTCTCAGAAATTCTGCAGCAGATATTAATGAAACTTGGCAGGTTGATGAACAATATTATTTTGAGTATGCACACAATTTTTTTTCCAGATCTGAAAATCCTAAATAGGTCTTTTTCAAGATTTTCATCAAAAATTTCCTTTCCCAGCAACATTGACACAACAACTGAGCATGCTCAAAATAAATTGATTTGGTTAGATTCAGATTCAGATTCATGAATTTATTGATTCCTGATTCACTAGTTTTACCTAATGTATTCAATCCTAAATAAATCGATAACAGAAACATAGTTTGTACTATACATAGAAAATACAGATCTATCACTTAGGACAACTGAGACTAACAATTTATGTTGTTGTATATTATATCTTTAAACTGTACAAATTGCATTATTTGTTAATTGTTGTCTGATTGATTGAGTCGAAGTAGATTTCATTCATTAATGATAAGTTGGAGCAATTAATCGCAATATTTGAGCAGGTTCTTGGGGGCAATGAAGGCCACAACAGATTAAAGAATACAAGCTCCGTAAAAATAGCACAATTGGTTTATTACAGTATTAGTGGCTTTCTGATAACGCATGCGCAGATGATGTAATAAAAGTACATGTCATTAACTACAACATCAGTATACAATGTTCTTTTCTGGATCAGTTCATTCTGCATGCACTTGTACTGAATACTGCAAAACTCAACTAAACTACAATGTGGGTGGCGCTAGGCTCACTCCCGATTACTAGTTCTACGCATTTCTGGGACCAAAGCGTAGATTGTTCATGTACATGATATGTTATCTCATCCTTCAATGTAGTAGATTTGTTATACGTTGGAGGAGATGCATATCAGGGTTCTCCCCAGGAAAAATGCATAGCGTCACAGCTAATTTGCATATCATTTACATACCTTTCCTTCATTGATTAACAGAACTCATTTACAATTATGAATATTAGTGAGCTCAGTCACAGTGCAAATAGTTTTTTTAATGGAATCAACACTTTATGTTTCACAATTTAGAAGAGTTTGAAACATTCTCGAAATACAAATGCTGCAGACTAAAAACAAACACAAATAAATTACTGTGGAATACTTTATTTTCGCTGGAATTAATTTTCGCTAAAAAGGCTTTTTCGGTCTTTTGTATGGAATTTATTTTTGATGAGTTGAATGTGAAATATAGGAAAAGTATATTCGCTGAATTGTATTTTCACAGAATCTTCCCGTCAGCGAAAATAAAGTATTCTACAGTATTGTTGCAATTTAATTGTATTGTAAAACGTTGAATGAAACGCATTCAAAACGTTAAGCCAGAGTTATGTTCACGAATCTCATAATTTTATTCACTCCAAAAACATTCTCCTTCAAAAAATCAATCACGTAATTAATTGGCGTATTGTAATTTATTATTCATACCATAAACTTCTAAAATGTTTACATTTACAGTCGATGTCGTAGCACTATGTGTTGGCATCGATTTCAATTGAAAACTGCAAGATGGCTTTCGAAAGAGGTGATTTGCAATTTTTGAAAAGTAAAATAGGTCTTAAAAGATTCGCGATGATAACAGTTCAAATGTATTTTGCCAAATCATGCAATAAACGCGTTGTTTTGTTCTTTTCTTGAATAGCGTAAGCTGATCGTGAACTCCGCTTTGACCATGTTATATCGGGGTGGAATTGATTTTGAAAGAATTTTAGCCTTCAATCTAAAGACTGTCTATCGCAGAAAATATTTACTTTCAAACAAAGAGGTGTTAATTTAACAAATTTGACTAGCTGTTACATATCGTGCGACTAGGTCTATTGTTTACAAATTATAATCTACGACTGGCAGGATGCGTGTCGGTCAGTACATGATTATAATAACAATCGGACAATAGTCCTGGTCGGAAGCGTTTCCGTGGTGGTCACTAATTTTTAATTACGGTCGGGTCCGACCAGCGTGGCGAACAAAGTCTTTGCACATCTGACATTGGCATGTCAAATATGAAATCAAGCGCCGAGGTCCCAAGTAAAGCGCCGAGATTCACAAGTATAGCGCCCCGGACCTCAGCGCTAAAAAGCCCTGGGGAGAACCCTAACATTCTCTGAACATTCTTCAGTTTCAATGATGACGAATCCTGTTTAGGAACTGACACGGATGGCATTAGCATTGGTACAGGTATCATATTTGGTTTACTCTGAGCTTGCATGGTCACTTTGTTTCATTTAGTCTGTTGACAATCAACATCTACCGGTTAACTAAGAATGGTAGCGATCCCCACTTCTCTTCAATTATTCCAGGTATACATTTTGGTTTTCCCATATAATTTATAGCAAATACTGAATCCCCCAAGAAAGTAGGTGTAATCCCTTGTTTTTGTGTCCTAATTCTCTTTCTTCTTTCCTTGGTTTTGCAATACTCGTGTCTGAAGTGATGGTTGCACAAGATCAAGTCTTGATCTTGAACGTCTATGCATATGCAAAGCTGCAGGAATCTGTTCTGTGGTTGTCTATGGCGTGATTCTGTATCTTGCCATGTAAGCATGTAGGGGTGCTTTAGTTGGAGATTTCCTAAAATCCTGGCATGCTGTGCATCTGAGGACTCAATTTCCACATCTAGCCCTGGTCACCATATGTAATTCTGGACCAAAGCTTTCATACACACTATACTAGGATGAACTTCATGTTCTACTAAGATAGTTTCAGAAGCCCGAGCTGGAATTATTACCCGCGACCCCCACAAAAAAATATCCTTGCTGAGAGTTCTTGCTTGCATGTGAAATACGGTCACAGTTGTTCCTCAACCTTCACTGGCCAACCTTGGGTTACCTACTTTATGATTTGTTATAATACTGGACGTCTGGCTGTTCAGTTTACTACAATTTAAGCTCAGCCATTGATCCATCTAATGTTGATAATGCAAGAACTACTCTATGGAAAAGTACTGCTATCATGCCATATGGAGAAGCATCACAATCAAAGATTAGTTTCAAACCACTATCATAGTGTACCAACAGTTGAGACGCCTGTAATAGTTTCTTTGATTGCTGAATGCTTCCTGTTGACTCCCTCCCCCCTCCATGTCTGAGTTGATACAGTTTGCCAAAACAGTGCTAAGATTTTTCAGGAATCTATTGTAGTAATTTGAAAAGACCTAAAAGCTCTTCTTTGTTGCAAGGTGTTGGAGCTTTTGTATGGTTTCCTCTTTGTCTTGTGTAGGGCGGATAATAATGGCGTCAATGCAATGTCCTAGGTAAGTGACTGATGATTTCTTAAACACACATTTGTTTCATTTTAGTTTTGGAACAAAAAGAAATAATTAATTGTTCTTTTATTCCTTTTAGCGTGATCGCGAAAACTAACCTGACTGCGAAAGAAATCCTGACTGGACGCATATGTGGGCAATTCGCTGTCCTCATCCATGAAAAAAAAACACAACTAGGTTTAAAGAGAACACCGACAACGTAAACCTGGCGCAACACTTTTGAAAGAAATAGATTCCGGACCAGCCCATGATCATCGAGGCGGATTTCAGAAGAGAGAAGACGTCCGGCAAGTGTTTCAAATGAGTTGACTTTTTTTGCGATCCTGATTATCATTTTATAGAGACCGTTTAGTCCCTCAGTGTTAAGTAAAAGGTAGCAATAATGACACGAAAACGAAGCGTCGGGCAAACAGGAAATTACACAGCCCTTACACACTGCTAATTGTTTTCATTTTCGAAGGCTAAAAGTTTCTGAATTGTTTGGTGATTGGTGTTGAATGTCGAATTCACACCTCTGTTCTTGTTTTACCTCCATGCTTGCAGCTTGATCTGCGTAATAAGAATCCGGGCTTGGTCAATGTGTTTCCACCAAATAAAGTTTTAATATGATGTTATAATTATGACAATCATGCCATGGATCACGCTAACTCGAATCCACTTTGAATTTATCTGTATGTGTGTCGATCTCGATTATTTTTGTTATCCAATTAAACGCCGCTTTTAACGCACTTGCTCTCGTCGTGACCCGACGCGTTCACCTATTTCAAATGACAATTTATTTCCACGCGGCTGTCATTTATTTAGTAACTGTGATTTGTCGTTTTTTTTAATTATTTTATAGTGGTCACTATGGTCTAATGTTTAGAATGTCAAAATATGTCTCTTTTATTTTAATTTTGAAAGTTTTACTCAGACGATCGATGAAATAAAACAGTGTAGTGACGTGCTGAGTAACCTGCTAAATAACGAGATAATTCCGACGTCAAATTCTATTTTGTCCAGCGACAGTGTACAAACGTGCGCCGGTGTCGGTGACAATCACGGTGACCAGCTACACCAGAACGGACATATTTCGCATCTAACTCAACCCCATGCAACAAAAATTTATGTGTTCATTATGGTCCATTCTTCCTCGACGAACAAGTACATAAGTGACAATTTAGTCAAAGACGAGAAAACTGCACAAGAAATTTGCCTTATTTACACGTAGCGGCAATGCAAGCTGCCATGCGACTTCCCCTTCTGACGTCACAAGGGGAATTTCTGTATGCAAATGAGAAGCTAATGAGGAGCCTCGTTTTAAAATACACAACAATAAAGTTGCCGTAGACTGAGTTTAAAACACATTTTTTCACTTAAAAAATAATTCATGCTTAGAAACATAAAAATTAATAATATTTATGTATCAATGGATAATTTTAGGCGTGAAAATAGCAGCCATTTCACAGGCACTTTAATTATTGCGTCCAGTCGGGATTTCTTTCGCAGCCTTGCTAGTTTTTGCGATCATGTTGAACAGGCTGAATTGACAATTAATTATATTAATTTTTGTGAAACAAAAAAAAA